GCCCCGCTCTCCCGGCGGAACCAGGGGGAGCCGCTCCCCTGGGATGGAGCCCGGGCTCTCCTTATCGCCCTCTCCCCCTCGCAGCCCGGAGCTGCGGCGAAGGCAGCAAAGAGCTCCGAGGGAAAGCGCGGAGCAGTCCTGCGTCCTCAGGCGCTTTCCTCATCCCCGCTCCCACGTCCACCGAGGGGATTCTCCCTAGCTAAAAACCCTGCCTTTCCCCTTTCTAGTGTTGAACGTACACATGGAGCGCGATTTAAAGGAGAAATGTTTTGCGGTTTCCTCTGTTTTCCGCTGGAGTGTGTGACACCGCTGCTGAGCTCCCAGAGCTCCGCCTGCAGCTCGCTCCGAGCTGTGCAGAGCCCGCCGGGCTCCCCGCGCATCCCCTGGGGCACTGCCAGGCTCTGCCCCACAAATCGCTTCTCTCTCGCTTGAGGACAGCTCTCCCTTCCAAGGGGACATCAGTAAAAAAGAGAACGTGAAGGAACATCAGAGCGAGCTAACTCGAGTCTGTCTCACCGTGCACGCTTCTTCCCCAGGAGGACCAGAACAGCTGGCAGGGAGCCCCTTCCCCTGAACCATTATCACCGGCCTCACTACAGAGCCAAGGCCGGCAGCAGAAACAGCAACAGCTGCTGGCACTGACGAGCAAGAGCAAAGCCTGGAGCTGCTCCCATCCCCACACAGCAGAGCTGAGGCCTCACCTGCAGCACCGGGACCAAGGGCACAGCACAAAGCCACGGGCAGAGGGAGCAGAAGGGGTCTGCAAACAGCACAGCACTGGCCCAGCGTTTTTCAAGAACAAATTTTAACCTTTATTACTGACAGCAAACAAGGCTGCTCTTTCCAGCAGCAATTGCAGCAGATCTAGAACAAAGTACAACAAAGAGACTGAGTTAGTACAGGTGGGCTTTGAGCAGAATCACCTTCTCTTAAATGTATTATTAAATGTTCCTTTCTATGGAAGATGGAGATTCTTTTTCTTCCCATTATTTACTAATGACTTAGCCATGTCACACCTCCCTCATGATGAAAATAAAAATTATTCTAAGTCATCATCTCCCACACAAAACAACAGGAAAAGATACTGTAATAGGAACAATTAGGTCTGCAGAGCCCACGCTCCACTGGAAAACCAAATAATCACTCCTCAAGGAAAGCACAACACGTTTTGAGGCTGTTAAAACCTTACTGACTGAAAATGCTTCCAAGCATAAGATTTTAATTTTTTGGGGATGAGTTTCTGTTCCCATCTGCAGTCCTGTGAGAGTCAGACAGGAGATTAATAAGATTTCCTTCCTGCAGGAAACCTGGTAGTGGCACTGCTAGGAGGTACCCAAAGCAGGCAGAGCACCAAGCTCTTTCAGGAGACTAAAGCAAGGATGGATAGACACATCCCTGGAGTTCAGGACTGTGGTTTCAGCATGCTCAGCCTGCTGCAGCTTCCTGCAGTGCCACACCACAGTGCAAAGGGATCAGGGTGAGAAAACTACAAGCCACAATCTGATTCTGTCAGGTTTCCAGCCCTGAGCTGGCCCCCCCAGACAGAAATCATCAGTGTTTTGATCCAGAACTGAGCCAGTGCTGGGATTTCTTTCTCAGAGGCCACACAAGGTCTGGCCATTAGGTGTCAGCTTTGTACCGAGCAGATGTGACAGCGCCCTCCACAAAGCTCAGCGGCAAAGCAATGAACCACCTTCAGTAATTAACCACCAAGATTTATACGATGGGATGGACCCGTTTTAACACCTCACAAACCACTGCTCCAGTGGATGACCTCCTGCAGGGCTTTAGGCTGAGTGAATCCAGTCAGGCTGTAGAGCTACACAAACCCACAGAAGGTTTATTCCCCTGCAGGCTGGAATATTCACCTTGTCCACCGCTGCTCCTGCCAGGATCTCCTCAGCGCATCGATCTCCTCAGAATGGCAGAGGTCTTTTCCTCGATAGAACTAATGGCCAAGCCACTCAGGACACCTTTGTTGATTTTCCTCACCTCCTGCACAGCCTCCACAATTTCAGCTCTGTGCCAATTAAAGAAGTAAGTGTTGGCACCACAACATTTAGCAATCTGTTACCGTGGATGTCGGCTCCGTTACAAATCAGGGCAGAAAAGAAATGCAAATATCTCACCTGCTGAACTCTGGATGCCTTTCTTGAAGCCTCTTTATTAACTTGGTAAAGCTGCTCAAGTTCAGTGCATAAGGAGAAACAAAGATACCAGATGGGTTAACAGAGGAACAAGTGGATGTTTTCTGCAGGGAATTTTCCACAGGCTCCTGGAATTGCATCAAAATAAGGGAAAAAAAATGCATGGGTTAAGCATTGTACAGGTAATACAACACCTCTTTCCTACTAATAAATATAAAATCCTTGACCCACAGAATGGTTTGGGCTGGAAGGCACCTTAAAGCTCATCTTATTCCTTTATACTAATTATTACTAATAATCCTCTTATTCTATACTTTAAATTAGATCCAATTATCAGCATGTTTAAAGGGAAATCCTCAGAGACAGCAAATCAGTGTGCTTTAGGAGGAACACCTGCAATTACTGATTTGCCCTTTACTCTCCAAGAACCAAGCTGAGCCAATCCAAAACACCCTGTTTGTAAATAAAGGACTCTTAGATTTATGCCAGGAAGTCCAAGAGTTTCTTTCCCATCCATTACCCCAAAATCTTTTCCTGTATAAAACAACACGACATTTACATTAAAAAAATAGGTGTTACAAGATGGAAAATTCTAGTGCAAATGGGTAAATTCCAAACTGTCCTAGGATTAAGGAAAAACAGCTGGAGTTTCATAGTTTGATGCAGGGGCAAAAGAATGGTGCTTTCACTCTTCTGCCACATGCCAGAAATTTATTACCAATATGCAACATATTTTCCTATCCTAACATAACTTTCTATCTATTAAATGTTAAGAGACAAGAAGATTTAAGGCTCTTAAGTCTGCCACAGAAAGGAGTGTCAGTAATAATTAATTACCTTTTGGTTATCTCCAAGCAAAGAATGTGCCAGCTCTTGAGTGGGTGATTTCAGATCAGGGCACATGGTTGTAAATGTGGAGTATGAAAGAAGCCTTAAAGAGGCAAGAAATTCCTTCTACAAACTAAGAACACACCTACCTCATGCACTGAGGGTTTTAGGCCACCAACATGAACAGAAGAATGCTCATTCCCACTCCCCACTGTCTTCATTTCTAATAATAAATGTAAGAAAGCAAAGAGTTACCAGCAGTTCTTGAGCTGACATCTTCTCTTGTAGACTTTGGACAGCCTAGAGAGAAAACCTTAGAAGGAACAAAGAGAAAGCAGCGAATCCTCTAACAGAAAAGGAGCGTCCTGAGAAGCACAGCAGAGTTCAGTTTGTGGAACATCTTTCCCCTGAGTGCTTCCTGAGGTTTTAAGAGGCAGAGGAAGCACAGCTCTGAAGTAACACTACCAGTGCTGAAGGCTGGTACAAATAACCCTCAAGCTCTCTGTCTTCTCACCACACCCATCACTGTGACCCAAGTCTCCAAACACAAAAACCATTTGCAACTCACTCTCAAGAGTCCAGCATGGGAAGGCAGCACAAAAATAAGGAGGAGAAGAAAAAAATGAAAGATTTCCATCTATGTGATTGGCTGGGCATTTACTAATTTGAGTTCAAGCACTGCAGGTGAAGTTTTCAAGGAAAAACAAGGATGGCTGGAAACAGCTGACTACAAGGATTCACTGCTAGTGAATGACAAAATAAATCTGAAAACCCAGTTGGCATTTTTTCCACATTTACTTATGCCTGGAGAAGGAACAGAGCACTCCAATAATAAACACCATTATTTGGTTTATCAGCTTAAAGCACATGACTTTACCTCTTGAGTCAATCGAGTCCTGCTTTCCTTGTTGCTTTTTCATTTCTCTGCACATTACTGAAATATCTGCCACTGACAAGTCTTCCTTAGCATCAAACCAATACTCACTCCCTTCCTCATTTTTCACACAGCCTTGGCAGTTAGGATAAAATTCAAGTGTTAAAATTCAAACCACGGTATGCTAAATAAATGAGTATCAAATTTCTGTGCTGAAGAGGACTTCAGCTACTTAAATTTCTTGGTACTACATTTCAAAGAAGTGACATTACTAGTTTGGAATTCTAATTTAAGTAGATATTTTATTTTTTTTTTTAAGTAATAATATAGAGCTATTATTACTTATCAGTAAGTTTGGATAGCTGATACATAAACATTCCAACACAGAAAGGGCAGCTGTGTTACCATATATATCTGTTTTCCACAGGGTTTCTTTCCTCCCCTGAAAGCTCAGCTCACAAATAAAGGATTCTAAAGGAGCAGATCACTCACCACGTTCCAGAGCCTGATCTTTAGGTTGTTCCTCCCATGTCTCAGGGCAGGCAGAGTCACCTGGCTGATCACCATCATTCTCTAACTTGTCCTACAAACACGTTTCAGTTATATCACAGCACTCCCACCTGATTATAAGTTATTTTTTGGAATATCTGCCCATGAAGAGGGTAACTTAAAAAAGTTAATCTGCTGATTATCTTCAAGAATCCCCAAGTTATTTTATTTTGAAAGGGTATTTAAAACTGTGAACATATGAACTGCATTTGCAATTAGTGGCAGAGGGTCTCAGGCCACTGAAGACTCTGGTCACATTCCCAGGTACCTAAAAGGAGAAAATCCTTCTCAACCTTACCATCTCCAAAACCCAGCAGTAAAGAATTCCCTACCATATTGACAGAAATCCCCTTTTCTTGAGATTTTGGGTCTTCAGGGTCAGCTTTCCCTTCACCTGAAAGATCACTAAAACACATCCAAGAATTTCATACAAAATATGGGACAAGAATTTCAAGTTTTACAGTAACTTAAATATTTCCAGAAGCTCACAGTAAAATAAACAGACTTCATGAATCTTGGCTTTTTAAATGATATCTGAATAGTTTTCTGTGTGATGTTCAGATTTATTCCTTACAATCTGAAAAACCTGTGCAACTTTTGCTAATTATTTACAAAACAAAATAATTGCCTTTACTTTTTCTTGATTAACTTCACTCACACTTAACAGGGAATTTCAAACAGTCTCTTAGCAGTTCACCCAATTCACTAAAAACTTACTGCCAAATTTGTTTTCACCTGCACTTACAGAAAATCACTGGATGTGGTTCCTGAACATGTTCTGTCATGTACCTGCCTGAAATACAAAGTTGTTTTTCTATCATTCTTCATATCTGAATGATAATCTTAGCAAAAACAGCTTCCTATTATCTCTTAATATTATCTATATGCTTAATATTATCTCTGCTGGCAGCAAACTCTTTTAGGGCTTTTGTGGTGTGGGATTTTCTGTTGCTTGGTTTTTAAGACAAATGCCATTATAACTGGAGACAAAGATTTTTAGTAGTGAAAGCAGGGCACCAGGAAAATGACCTGTAAATTGAAAACCTTTACTATAAAGATGGTAAAGACACTCCCTGATTTGCATGCTAGAACACCACAGAGGAAAAATGCCCTTAAAATAAAATTGTGGTACCCACAGGGCAACTCTGATCTTTCAACTAAAGAGCCTGAAATAACAAGATGCATCCTGAAATAAAGAAATCATAGGTTTAACATCCTTTAAATTCATTCATTTAATTTAGTAAGTGCAACAAATGAAAACTACTTACTCAGAGTAAACACTTTTTCTGAGAAACTGTCAAAAAAAAAAAAAGAGAAATATTTATCTATAATTATCTTAATTATAAAACAATTTATATTAAAAACAGAAAACATTTAAGAAATTACCTTGGAGGGTACGTAAAAGGAAGAGATTGGGGAAAACTTCAGCTCAACTGACAGTGGTGGAAGTTCATTTAAAGGAATGCCCATGTTTATTTCCGTTCTCATACTGCTGTAATTATTGTCCAGCTCATCCAAAACCAGCAGGAGAGACGAATACAACTTGGACTTTTCCTCACATCTATTAAAATATGGGTAAGAAAGCAACATCAACTCAAGGCATTTCACTGACTTTACAGCTTCTGGAGATGCCCAGAGATTTTACAGGGTCTAAAGGTTCCTCTACATTATACCAGAACATGAAATGACAACTCTACTGTGCATCACTTGGGTTTTATTCCTGGGAAAAAAACCCCAGGATTTTGGGACTGTGAATGGTACAATAAAATAGTAAAGCTGGAAATAAGCCTTGGGGGTCCTCTGGCCAACACCACTAATTATGATCATTCCTAGAAGCTCTGGATAGAATCTACCAGTACCATTTAGCAGTTTTTCCCTGATAACCCAGTTATCCATTTTATTTTAAAGGACATTAAAGCACGTGCCTCCCAAAATAAGTGATTTCCTCCGAAGCCAGCTCATAAACCTTCAAGCAGTGCTGGAAGCACATCTTGTAATGGATGGCCAGGAGCTGCAGCTCTGCTTCAGCTGCTCTCTGCAGGACGTTCTGGCAGCAGCCTGATGCAGAATTCTTCCCAGTTTGCTTGTTGGGATGTTCTGGCCTTTAAAATGATAACAACAATAACAGAGTATTTATTGCAGGGCTTCAAGATTTTGTTTACGTTCATAGTGTTTTATTTTGAAGCAAGGAGCTTGCCAGAAGCTATTTCTGGTGTGATTTAAGGACAATCCTATTTAGCCCACACTAATGATTGTAGCACTACTGTCAGTTTTATCAGAGAGGTGGGACCTGCACAAGCACCATCACAACTTTTACCCAAAAAGCGAAGTTCTTAAGAACAAACTGAGGAACACTGTGGATCTGCAAACACACTTATTTTGTTTCTACAGCCATGGAATAATTTAGGTTGGAAAGGGTCTCTGGAGTTCTGCAACTGCAGAACAAGGCTGCTTTGGTCTTTGTTCAGCATCAGGAAGTCTTCAGCTCACTCTTCTCACTGTCCAGGTCCCTGCAGCAGAAACTGCTGCCCAGGAAGCTTTTAATACCACCAGTTTTGCCAAGCCAGAGACAGCCCTTCAATAATGAAAAAACCTCTTAATCAGAATCTCAAACTCCAAAACCAAGAACAACTCCTGACCCACCTGCTGGTGCCTGTCTTCCAGTCACAGATACACAGATGATCTTTTGATTCCTGCTTTTCAAAGGAAAAAAACAACAAGTCAAAAGTTACAAATTAACATCCTTGCAGACAAATTACAGTTAAAAGAAGTTCTATCAATCTGGTTTGATGGCCCTTCTTGTTTTGTGTCAATTACCTGCATGTGTGAGCTCCAAGCTCTGAAGGACCACTCTGTGTTGGAAGCAGCATCCACGGAGGTTTGACCCAGGCACCCCACAGGTCGAGTTTTGTTCATCATGGTTACTTCTGTGTTCACTGCCCTGGAGCACAGACAGACCTGGGCACTGCTGTCTCTGCTTGCTGGGAAGCCAGAATCATCCACAGCCTGCACAGCTGCAGACACACCAGGAACACTCCTCAGGGCTTCCCCCTGCTCCGACTCCACAGCACCGGGGCTCCCACCAGAGGATTTATCTGCAGCTTCCATGCCAGCAACAGGATTCTTGCTAGGGGGTATTTCAGGGACTGGGAGCTGGGTTTCAGCATGCTCTGCAGGGCTGTCAGCGCTGCTGGCACCTTGTGTGCACACCGCAGGTTTTTCACAGCTGCCGAAATCGGAGGGCTCTGCACCTTTGCAGAGCTGGGCCTTTTCCCTGGGTGGCAGGAAAGGAATGTCTGGCTCCACTGCCACGCTGTGGGTGAGTGTTTCGCTCTTTCCAGACTCTTCGTCCCCTGCTGTGGTTTGGGGTGGCACCTTGTCACCAATCAGTGGCATCTTCTTCACCTCTTCGACCTCCCCCTGCTCAGAAAACGCACTCGAGTTGTTCTTATCCTCCTCACACTCCTCGTAAGCACTGAGATACTCCAGCTGCGAGTCTTCACCTAAATCTTCACCCAAACAGGAGGTCTGAGTGAAGCAACTCCTTTTGCTGCTCTTTTCCACTTCCATGGCACCGACACACTCTCCTCCTCCTCCTCAGAAGGAATCCACACAACCCACTGCCACTGCAACCTCTCAGTCACTGCTTTGGCTCTTCCTACCTTAATAAAAATTAAGAGAAGTTCAAGTTGCTCCATGGCATACAAAAGGACAAAAGAATGCATTAAATTAACTATCCTATTTTCACCTACTGCGTGCTAGGAGAGCAAGTAGGAATTCTACAGCCTGTTCCTAAAGAGCTCATTTCTGAATTGCTGGAATCCCTGTCGATACACACTGAGCTGTTTGCATCCTACAGTACACTAAGTGTTCAATTAAAGGTTACTTACATTAAAGAAGAGGTGAACTTGGAGCTCTGGGCCTCCCAAAAACTAAAAACCCCCTGGGTGTTGGACAAGGGGGAAATTAAAGCATATAACCCGGTTTTGTAACAAACACCAACAAAAAGCAGAGAGAAAGCATGTAGGGATGGAAGATGCTCTTTGTGAAGCTTGTTTCTTAGGATATTGTCAATTCTTCTCTGCCTTCCCTCAGAAGCTTCTAACAAAGAAAGGAACACATAAAAACATAAGCCATATTTCTCAATCACGTCTGCTTTCCAAACTGCTCAAATGACATATCCCGATTTTAGTCACTGTCTCTGACAACCCTTCCCCAGGGGGCATGGGGGGCGCTAAGGATTAATATTAAAATGTTCAAATTTTCAAGCCTTCCACTATCCCAGGTTGCTCCAAGCCCTATCCAACCTGGTCTTTAACACTTCCATGGTTTAATAATACACTTCCACAGCTATTTTTGCCTCAAAAACGCTGTCCTTTTCTACTACATTACCTTTACCTTCACTCCCTAACTGATGCTATGAGCAACTCCGTGGAATTAAAAAGCCAAACGCTGCCAAAGCACATCCCAGATGCCTTTATAGAAATCACATTATTAGCACAGAGAAGCGACTTTCTCCCCTCACTTTCCCCTAGAGAACAAGAACCAAAACACCTCCACGCCCCTGATTAAGGTACCGTAACCTATCCCGACACAAACGCTGAACCACAGCGCAGCCCGTCTCAGCGCTGGCTGAGGCCGGGGGAGCCCTGAGGGCAGCCTGGTGCTCCCGTTCGCCCAGGGAGAAGCCCCGGGGGAGGAGAAGGGCGTCTCACCGCAGCTCCAGGGCAGGCTGAAGCGCGGTCCCGCCGCCCGCACCGAGCGCCCCGGGCCCGCTCCCGTTACCGCCGGCCCGCGCCTCAC